AGTTGTAGTATTAGTTTTATTATTAAGTTTATTATTAGTTATTATTAGTATATTATTAGTTATATTATTATTATTATATGGGGGGAGGTCAATAGAAAAGGAACAAATCGAAAATTTTTTGAAATTTGAGTTTTTATATTTATTATATTGTTTAAAACATTTAGAACATTTTTTACTTAATAATAAACTTTTATTTTCATATTATAAAAATTAGATATAACGGTTTAAAAAATTTTTGTTGCACAGATCGGCTCCTAGCATCGGCAAATCGGATAAATGTAAAATTAGAATCTACATCAAGTAAATAACACAAACCCACCTGTACGTATAAATCTTTTAATAAAGTTTCTGTATAGAACACTTATTACATGAACTATAAACTCACTATATAAAGAGTTATCATAGTCTTGTAGCAAAAGAGTTATAAGATAGATCATAAACTATATGGTAGTAAAATTATATTGTTGTAACGAAGACTAAGTTTGGCTCTTTAAGAATTCGGAACTTCAATCTAAGTATAAGTAATATTTTTGTAGTTTACTGCTTCCTCTAAATCAGGCTGTAGGTTAATTTGACCTTTAACCCATGCTATTAAATTAACCTGGCTCCAGATTCTACTCCGGGTTGCTTAAAGATCTGCACCGGTTGCTCCAACTTTACACGCATATTTTTAACTTGGGTTGGAAGTATGTATATTACCCCATTAACAATCCTACGTTTAAATATGGGTTCTGAATTTGAAATAGGATTGTAAGGTACATATAGACCATAGCAAGACTTTCGTATGATTGGCTGTTTAAATCAATTTAATTTTATATTATTTATACAGGTTAAAGTGCTTTCTAGAAAAATAAAACTACGAAGAATAAACAAAAAAGAAGCATATAAAAAGTTTTATTAGGGTTGTAGGACTCAACCATTAAAAATAATCAAAATCATTTCTGGTTTTAGAGAAGTTAGCATAATAGCGACTTCTTAAAGATAGATAAAATTAGGTTATTACTATGCTAACTTCTCTAAAACAAAAAGAGATTTTGATTGTTTTTAATAGCGG